CCCTTAGTTTAATTGCGTTGTAATTTTTCGTAATTAGTAAATCAAAGTTTAACTGTTTGAAAATTGCAGTAAAGAATAAATCATTGACTTTTCATTGATATTTTTTTAAATTATGCTTATGTATCAAGCTATTTCGCAAAAAGTAGAAATAAAGTGAAATATTTGTCTGTTTTTAAAAACCGTATCAACTTTGCATCATTTTTGGCATAATTTTTTCTGATGTTTTAAATTTTTGCGAAATAAGTTGTATTTAGAATTTCAATTGGTAATAAAAATGCGTTGGAAAGATAAGTTAGGAATAAAGCACTAACTTTGTTGAGGTTTGGCTAAATTTGAGAAATCGGCAAATGTCAAATTTTCGAAAAACTGTAAAAAAACTAAATTTGTACTAGAGAGCTAAAAATTGGTATATGGGTAAAAAATGAAAAAACAATCATCTTTTCTCCTTACCGATTTCCGAAATTTCGAGCAATAACTGCTTTTCTGAACATTTTTTGGAAAAAATGTTAAATTTGACAGGGAAGAAAAATAACTTAATCGGTCATATGCATGTCATTTGGCATCGTTTTTAAAGCACAACCTAATGGAGATATCAAAAGTTGCTTGAAGAGATGTACAAAAAAAAATCTCATTTGATGCGGACTGTATGTGTGACACTGTATAATCGGCTATAATCATAATAAATGAATATGACAGCAGAAATGACATGATACCATTGTATATAGACTAAAGATGATACAATATGGGGGAAAAAATTAAAATTTGTCAATAGGATACAAGATTGAACAGAGTTCATTCTTCTTGCACCTTACAAAAATAAGGTGAAAAAAAAAAAAAAGAAAAAGGGGTCTTAATTGTGATAGCGGGTACATTTTATTCGAATAGGGGGAGATGAGGCGGATGTCGATACAAACAAGAAAACTACAATTATTTTATCTATAGCCTACAAGAGCCATTGTGTCGTAAAAGATATTCGGGTATTATGGAGTTCAGCTATTTTATATGTAGATGACCTTTTGAATAATTCAATGGAGTGTCTTGGTTCTTATCTTACGCCTGATGTTCACATTATGAACATCAGTTCGATAAGTTATTTTGTTATAGAGATAGGGAGGTGTTCTATTGGCAATCATTTTATGAAATAATGTCGAAGAATGAAGAGTGCGCCTATCGTACATTTTCAGCCACCTGGCTTTTTCAAGTATATGAGAAATCGGTTCTTTTTTTCTTGATACCGCACGAAAATCTCAAACAAGACTTTTGAATTCTTTGTTGCTCATTTTTGTTAAAAAATGATGATAGACTACGTCACAATGCTATTAACGAATCACAAATGAGTAATTTGGTTTTTAAGCTCAAGACATGCTTACGAGGTTGTAATAGGTACTTTCATTTTTCCAAATGCTCTTTGAATCAATGTTGAAATATGTTTTTTGAATTTGAATTCATCATCGACAAAAACTCCCAGATTTTTAACCTGATTTACAATCGGTAAAACAGTGTCACCAATTTTTATGATCAGATCGCTTAGTTTCGACCTTGTGACTTTCCTTTCAAATACAATTACAAGAGCATTTGGAATCATCTTCCATGGCAGGTTTCTTTGATATATTAACGAATTAATTCAAATCCTCATTGATATTTTCGCTTTGCTGTACAGAGTCAGGGGTATAAGAATAATACAACTGTGTATCATCGGCATATACATGATATTTGAGTTTTGTCAAACAGATTGTCAAATGGGAGGTGTATATAAATTATGAAAGATATGAATCGAAAAATTTCAAAGTGTTTTGAGAAATTCCATTATAATGTAATGTAATACCTATATGTAATGTAATACCTATAGATTGAAGTAGTTGATGATTTAAGGTATCAAAAGCTTTACTAATGTCGGTGAGTTTGGGCAACATCTGCTGTTGAAATCAGCTCTTTGGCACCATACAATCGTTTTAGTTCTTCAAATATTTGGGTATCTTTCAAATATTCACTCGACAAGGAACTCATTTCACTAATGTAACAATCGCTACTTGACTCCGAACTTTCTTCATCCGATTATAAAATGAATCATCTTCTGGCGTTCCCGTGATTTAGATCGTAGTTTTCTTCTATTGCATAAACCAAAAGGTCCAGCTAGATACATTTTTCAATAAAAAATATCTCTTCACGACGATTCCAACACCAATTTGCCTTCGAATAAAACTCAAGACTCTACAAGTAAATAAACAAAACGAAAAATCGCATTTAAGTATTATAATTTTATGACCGTCATAATAATACTATTTCAGAAAAACCCACTAGGTATACAGAAACCGATCTAAATTCAGCTAACAGTACATCCATAGGTATAGGGGGCACTTCGAAAATTTCTTCTACACCTATAGGTGAAGTGAGCATTGACGTGTTAACATTCTTGAATATTCTGAGAATAATGTTTTTGCTATGGTTATAAGGTTAATGAAATGGTTTCTTCAAGATAAATTAGTCAAGAACTACAGAAAAGTCACAAATCAGTAAAACAAAAACTGAAAAAGTAGGATACCGAGCAGGAGTATCACTTTCATCAACATTTGTGACGATGATGAAAGAATGGGTAAGTTTTGTGATTGACTGCTTCAAAATCATATAGATAACCCAAATTTTATCAACTTTATTGACATATTTACAAATAGTGATATGTTTAATGAACGGAATACTACATACTGGGCCCAACAAAATCAACAAGCGATTAGAAAAGACAATTTTTTAAGAAAAATTTGAACGCACATTTGTCTCTGTCTAAACATTCTAAAATTCATTTGCCTTGAAAACCCCAACAAGTTAAAAGAATTACTTTCTAATTGTACAATTATTTTTTGGTCACAATTTAAGATTGATTTTGTACAAACAAATCGATAAATTAGTTTGTTAGATTTATCGTGTTGTTTATATCATCATCCCAACCAATCGTGAAATGATCTGAAAGTAGCAAAAAAAAATCAAAGAATCTGTCAGCAAGTATAACTTGCAGAAAAATTAAATGTTTTTGGATTGTACACTGAAATGATTTTTTCCCGCTATGAGTTTTTTCATGGCTTTTCAAATATTCATTTCGTTTAAATGTTTTCGAGCAGATGTTACACTAAAATTGTTTCCTATTATTAGTTTTTTCATGGTTTTACAAGCAACCTTTTTCACTTATTTTATTGGAATCGTTTAAACAAATTTCGTTTTTCTCATAAGTTTTGTTCTCTCTAATTGATTTTGTGCAGAACTCGTGATTGATAGATTCATCCATCCTCCCTGTTGTGTGTATTGTTTCATGTTCAACAATATGATTATTATCAACAAACAATTCATTTTGATATATCTCTGACGACATATTTTCATTGATGGCCTCATATTCCCGAATTAATTTTTCCTCTGGTGTTTTCAAAGAAATTATTCCAGGATCTGTAAAAAAATTAGAAAAACATGATAGTAGATATAGACCTGTAATTATAAGACAAACTTGTTGATCTCTTAATAGACCAATTACTTATCACGTGTGCTACTGCAGACCAAATGATAAATATTGAGCATTGAATCTATTAAAAACACTTTCCTAACACCAGAACAAAAATTACAGTCACAAACCAAGGTAGCGTCCTCAGAAGATCATTATAAAAGTGTTTTCAATAGATTCGTTCTAGGCCAGAAGTTCCAGTACGAACTATCATGAGCATTTAGTAAAAATATTTCATAAATAAAGCAAACAGTTGAGGTACCTTGCTCGAAGTTTCCCCAGTTTTTTTTTGTTATATACACTTATCATTACATACGTCAATTGCTTCAGTAGTTTAAGTTTTATATAACTATAACTATCCACTTACTATGTCAAAAAGTAAAATAAATGGATCTGAATATGATTAGACTAATAAACCGTTGCTG